CCCCCCGCGGGAGGCATTTATTGCAGTTTTTGTTTTTTTGGGACTAACTTACACCTGTTATAATTTTTAAATTACACTTTTGACCCTTAAAAGACTCTTCATATTAATAGCTTTTAATAATAAAAAATTAAGTGTATTGTTGGAAAACTGAACAACTTTTCATTCCTAATAATGCATAAACCAAACATGGGAATGATAGAAAATGGTATTTTTTAGTCCTTATTTTCTAGCGTTCCCAAACATGGGAATGAACTTCCTCCATTCCTATCTCATGGGATTAGACATGGGAAGTTCAATCCGCAAACCGAATGGGCCCCCTTTAAGTGGAAAACCCTAAAATGGATCAGATGGTGGTGATTAAACAAGTGGTGCCACGTGTGTTGCTAACCCTTTCTTACATATATTCACAACTTTTTCTTTTTCTTTTCTTCTTCTGTAAAATCCTTTTCAACTTAATTAATTTTGAAAATAATCCTATAAATAACTTCAATATTTTATTTCTAGAATTTATAAAAGTAGCATTTTTTAAGACTTGAAGAAGCAAAAATAGAGTCAATATGTGAAACAAAATCTCATATTGGACTAAGATTATTTATATTTTTATTAGAGTTTCTAATAGTTCTCACATTAGACACACTATTTCTATTTTCTTCATATAAGATTTTCTAATAGTTCTTTGTTGATTTTTTATATATAAGATTTTCTAATATTTATACATAAACAAGACTTTTTACTATGAATTTAGGATAATAGTGGTATTGTTTAATTTTTTAAGGTATTTTTGGTCGAAATTTTTTTTGATAACTTTTACATGTTGACCCCTTGGGATAAAAATTTCGCTGGATTCGCCATTGTTGTTGAGACATCATCGTCTTGTCATAAGCTTAAATTGGTGTAGACCATGTACAATAGATTTTCCTTCAATATTGTAAACAAAATATTTTATGCATATGTAACATTAAATTTATGGCCACAATTTACAAGAAAAAATAAACGGAGGTTGTAATATCCAGACTTTGCCATGGCCGCAACATGGTATACAAGCAAAGTCATTCCTTCCATGGGACAAATCGTTGATTCATTTGGAAAATATGACCTACAACAAGAGCAACCTTTTATAAGAAAAATCAAATAGTGAAGGAAAGAGAAGAATTATGTACTGGAAATCTCCTCATGGTAGAATTGTAGCTTCATGAAAAACTTAGCTCTAATTGAATCAGCGATTTACCAGGAAACTAAAGGAGACGCATTACTCCAATATTATCGCTAATCAACTAGAGCTCATCTTCAACACTAGCCCCTTCGACATGAAAAACAATTTTTCAATGGAATCAAGCTCTAATCGAATCCTTGATTTACCAGAAATCTAACTTGAGATGCTAACTCTCTAAATAGTTTTTGGTAAATCAAGGACCGACTAGAGTTTACCTCCAACTATAGCAATCCAAAGAAAACAATGTCAATTTTATGCACCAACAAGCAGGGTATATATAGTGATCCAAAAGGCTCCGCATTTAATGTTTACCAATGGAGGAAAGATTAGAAATTTAATAATAATATAATAATTAAGGTGATAATTATTGCAGCATATTGGTATATCCTCAAAATTTCTACGTTGTCTCCAGAAATTCTGAACAAACAACTCCAATGAATCATGTGGACTGTCTAGATTAAACTAATACACAGTATGTGCAAAATACCTAATTAGCTTAATATGGCCATTCTTAACATGGTCAAGTTCAATACCTAATATGCATATTTATACATATCAGCCAAGTTCAATACCTAATATGCATATTTATACATATCAGCCAAGTTCAATACCTAATATGTTCATTCTATCTTGACAACCTCAAAAATCAATCTCATTATCCGAGAAATTGTACACGGTGCTTGAAATTTATTTTCTAAAAGTTTAATGAAGACATAAATTTTGTTACAGAAGAAGGTTTAACAATGACAGAGTGCCACATAAATTAATAAACAATGTAAATTCCAAGCTTCGAAACTAATGTTTTTGTACTCAATATTCTCCCAAGAAATCCTAGCCGCCCTCTGTGAGTCCTAAAAGAAAACTCCATAGAGGGGGGAGGAGGAAGAAGCGTCACTGCCCCTCCTCCCCCTCCTCTCTTCTCGTCTTTTCCTTTTAGGTTAGTGAATAAGTCTACTGGGGCGTTTTACAAAAAAAGCCCATTGTGGTGGTTTCTTTTGAGCCATGGTTAGATTGAAGTTCCCCATCACCCCTTTTAGTTTATGTTCTCAATCAAATCCTGCTCCCAAAACCCGCTCCTTAATGTAGCTCATGTTCTCTAAATTTAATTTTACATCGTCCTTGACAGAGGTTGCTACAAATCACCCAATTGTTCTTTGGCAAAGTTGTTGTTTTTCGTTTATTTGTTCGCTCTTATGGGCAAGTAGATCGTTGGAAATCATATTTTCCCAAGATCTGTTATGGATGCGGTGGTGGGTGTGGCCGCGACGACGCTTCATCAGGTGGTGGTGATAGGGTTCGTCTAGGCTCATGGGTTGTTTTAGGGTTTTGGTTATGTTGGGTTTGTGGGCTTTGTTTAGGCTTATGGTTAATTGTGTTGATGTGGGCTAGTAGTTTTAGTGCAGCTTTTGTCCGCATTAGTTGTGTTTTTAGCATGTTAGTTTGTTGCCCTCTTGGGATTGGTATTTTAGATGTCTTGTTGATATCTTTGATTGTACAGTTGAAGTTTATCTAATGAGTTTCTATTTGATAAAAATAAATAAATAAAAAGCTTCGAAACTAATATGTTCACTGATGGCAGCCATAAAATCAATTACATTATTCTCATTTGTGGAATATAAATAATTGAGAATACTGAAAATTTTAAAATTCAAAGAAAAATATACCATACGAAGATTTACATTAGTGGAATGCTTTGGCTTAGGATTTCTTCAGTTAAAAAGATAATAATAAAGTGGCCAGGTCTAGGCTAGTGGAAAGCCCTTAACTTGTAGACTAGTGGTTTTAGATTTGAACCCATGATACCTTACTAAAAAAGGTGCTTCCAAGTGAGTAGCATTAGAAGATTAAGTTAGGGCTTCGAAAATCAGACATACCTTATATGATGAAGCCCTAACTTAAGTTAGGGTCATAAATAGAAATCAGACATACCAAATTTGGAAACATAAACCATTAGTCCTGAGTCGTTTCCAAATTTATCTTGTAACTTAAGTGATTAAGATAATTTATCCGTGCACCCGAGGTCCTAAGTTCGATTCCCAACTTCCCCAATATCACTTGTATTAAAAAAAATACTAATTAGTCAAATAACCCAACTAATAAACTATTAATTGATTTTTTTTTTCCTCGCCTCTATTGCATGGCACATTTGAGGTTCTAGTTAACCATAATAGAAACAATAACTTTTTAAAAAAAAATTAGATGTAAAACTATCATTTTATCACCGAAGCCTCCAATATATATGATCAGATTGCACATGCGCAAATGTTCTGTGCCCTATTGATATTTCCTATTTCCGTTTGATATAATTTTGTATTGTGGAGTGGGGTAGGGTGATATTTCTGTTCGTCATGTTAGGAGTATTATTATTCACATTTCTTTTGGAACGTTGATAAAGATTAATAGCATTCAAACCATATCAATATGTTTCCTTTTTCTTATATTTAAAAAAGATTGGAGTGTAACAAATTCACCAAAATCCATTCATTTTCAGTTCACAATTCTCATAAAAATGAGGAAAATGGTTGGGAAAACGAAACAGAAACTCGACATCAACATCACCATTTTCGACATCTCACTGAACTCTGATTTCCTTGCCAACAAAAACAACCCCGGAAAGCCACCAAAACCACCATGTTCATGTTTCGTCAAGCCTCACGCCTCTTGGGTCGACCCACTTGCCCGAGCAGAATCCGAGCCTTGTGCACAGAGGTCCCAGCGGCCAATCCCAATGCCGACTCGGCCTTCATCGAGTCATGGAAGAAAGTGATACCTATCATGGACCCACCTAAAACTCCATCAACCTATACGGAGCCCCGCCCTCCGACCCCTTCTTCTCTCCCTTCCAAACTCACCGTCAACTTTGTCCTCCCCTACTCCTCTGAGCTCTCTGGCAAAGAGGTCTGTGCATATGCCCTTCTGGCTTTTTCCTTCTTCCTTTTTTTGTTCTTGGGTTTTGTTTGGATTCGGTTATTAATTTGTTTTCCTTTAGTTTTTCAAATTTTTAATACCTGATTATTTGCTTTATGTTTTGTATTTTCCCATAGTGTTTGGATTGGATTTGCTGATTCGTTTGGTTGGGTGTTAAATCTTGTCCTTATTTGGATTTGTAGGCTATATGACTGAAATTTTGGTATAATATGTGTACCAATGCGTTTCCGTCTGGATTAGTTGATCAATATTTGTGATTGATTTGTGAATTTATGTGAAGATGGACAGATTAATTTAATGGAGACGAACTGATTAGTCATTAAATTTTGTACTGTTAGCTTTTTTATGCTCCATTCTTTAACACAATGGTTGAGGACAATTTGCTCTCTAATTGTATATAATCTTGTTTTCTTGGCCACCAAATGTTATATGAGCTAGGGTTATTAAATTCTTGTTTTATGGCCAACTGGGTCTAACCCAGTTCGAACCCTCATGGCATCATAGTTGTGTGTGTGTGAGAAATCCTCCTCCCATGTAATTTAGACTATAGCTTGTACTAAAAAAAAAATTCATGTTTTATGTTTCATCTTAATTTTTTATTCTTTTATGATATTTGAGTTGTGGGATTTTACATTTTAGAAGGTGTGTTTTTTTGGGTCTGAAGTTTAGAAGGTGTGTTTACTCTTCTAAATGGTCGTTCATCCTTATCATTTGGGTTTTTTTTTGGGCTTGTCACATTATTATTGTACCAAGCTTGTGTCTTTTATCTACCAAAACAGTAAACAAAGATTCTGTAGTTGCTAGTTGATTAGCTGCAAAAAGGTTTGATATTCAGTTTGGCGACCATTCATGAACGGTTTATTCATATGATTTTCTGTTACAGCATCCTGAGTTCATATCACAAACCAAGTTTACTTGTTGTACAAGAATCAGTTATCTTTATTTTTATTTTTTCAACACTATTGATACTGCTTCTATAAGAAGCACTGCCACTCATAAGCGCACTTTTATTACAATAACGTCGATACTTTTGTTAAAAATTCAAGTGCTTCTTGGACACAATTCTGTTTACTTTTCTGATGCCTATTAAGAACTTCAATGACATGTTTCAGGTTGACATGGTTATGGTACCAGCAACAACTGGACAAATGGGTGTTTTGCCTGGCCATGTAGCAACAATCGCAGAGCTTAAGCCCGGTGTCCTCTCGGTGCACGAAGGCAGTGACGTGACCAAGTATTTTGTGAGCAGTGGGTTTGCTTTTATTCATGCAAATTCTGTTGCTGATATAGTTGCTGTGGAGGCTGTTCCAATTGACCAGATTGATGCAATCTTAGTGCAAAAGGGGCTTGCAGAGTTCACCCAGAAGCTCAGTTCAGCCACAACCGATTTGGAGAAAGCTGAAGCGCAGATTGGGGTTGATGTTCATAGTGCTCTCAACTCTGCTCTCACTGGTTGATCATTTTGCCATGCTTCAACCATTAGCTTTTCCTTCTTCTCCTCCTTCACGCCAGTGGCTATTCGATCTTATTCCTTGAGCAGTAATCTTGCTTGAACGATTTTGTCTACATCATTTTTAGAGAAATAAAGTATTTCAGAACCCATGATTTTTATTTTTTATGTTTTGCCCAACTCAAGGGAGAGGTTTTTCTCACACACACTGCCAAGGTATCATGGAAATTTTAACCTGAAACCCTAGGACCCATGATTTTTTTTTTTCCTTTGTTCAAGATGTGTGTCTCAAGTTGGGAGCTTATTAGGTTTGCCACATAATTGGAAGAAATTAAAAAAAAATAAAAAAAATAAAAAAAGCTCGTTACCACAACCACATGCATCAATTTGGTTGTAGAACCAACCCCCCATTCACCGGAAAACCATCAGTTGATTTCCCTTCCGTTTTTCTCGATCAGTTTTTCGGTGTTTCTGGGCTATTTTTCCAAAATTAAGTGAAAGTGTTGGATTTTTAGAAGGACAATAGAGTGATTTTATTTATTCAACAATAGATAGGTACAAGGCTTTATAGAGGACTAGGCTTATTGGCCTTCAACAACTAGAAACTGTTTACTAGGCTTATTGGCCTTTTCACTCTTTTGCTAGCTTATTGGGCTTTTTACTCTTGGCTTATTGCTTGAGACTGGACAGCTGTAGTTTTCAGCTTACTTCTTGATTACAATGAGAGGCTATATGCTTATTTATAGAGGGACTAAATCGGCAGCTTTGGAAAAGTTAGTTGCTCATGCAATTGACTTTCCAAAGTCATTTTCAGCCACAATTTTTCTCCTTATTCTAGATTTCTCTAGTTATAGTACATGGATGTTTCTAGTGACTTTAACTTGTCTACTTTCTCTCGATTTTTCTAGATTTTTTTTTATATTATTCAAGATTTTTCTTTATTATTCAAAGTACAATGTGCATTACTTTTTAACACTCCTCCTTAATGCACATTTGTGTTATATTGCTAGATATTCTAATCTTGTTGATGCCATATTCTTTGCGTTTGTTGATAATTGAGCTGCAATCTCTATCTTCCGGTCATTGCCACTGCTCTTGATATGCCAATTTGTGTTGTCTTTTTCTGATAGTGCTAGACATGCATAGAACACATGCTCGTACTTATCATTTTCTTCTGTGTAGTTATTGATAGTTTTTCTTGAATCAACAATCTTTTTCTATATGCCCAAATCTTTTGCAGTTCCAGCATTTTGGTATGCCTCGATACCAACTATCTTTCTCTTGGTGGCTTGTCTTTTTGCATACATGACATGGAGGGTAGTCTTTCCTCTTCACAATTTCTCTTTTATTTTCCCGATTATTGTTGGGTTCATTTTCTATTTCTCTAGAATTTTCTTCAAATTTTCTTTCATCATCTTTAGACTTCTGAGACCTTAAATTTAGTTTCGACTGGAAGGCACTTTCTACTGGACTTTCATTTCGCCTACTCCGTCTTTTTACATATGCTTCCAGAGAGCCCATTAATTCTGTCACTGACAGACTAGTTATATCTTTTGTCTGTTAAATGGCAGTTACTAGGGGATCATACTTATCAGTGAGACTGATAAGTATTTTTTCTACAATTCTTGAATCATAAATTTTTTCTCCATAGGCTCTCAATTGATTGATTATTTCTTTTACTCTAGCATAGTACTCTTGTGTGGTCTCAGAATCTTTCATTTTAATGTTTTCAAAATCTCTTCTCAAAGTTTGTAGTTTAACTGCACGTACCTTGGAGTTTAAACTCCTCCTTTAAAGTCTCTCATGCTTCCCTTGATGTTGTGGCTCCCATAATCCTTGGAAAAATAGTGTCATCCAAAGCTTGTTGCAACGCAAATAGAGCCTTTGCATCCTTCTGCTGATCTTTCTTTAGCTGCCTTAATTGTTCCATGGTTGGATTTTCTGGATTATTGAAGCCACTCTGAACTATGTCCCATAAATCTTGAGACATAAAATAAGTCTTCATCTTGATGCTCCAGAAGTTTGGCTAGTGGTAGACATGATGGAGGACTAGAGTGAACCAACGCCCAAGGTTGATCGGAACAAGCTCTGATACCACTTGTTGGATTTTTAGAAGGACAATAGAGTGATTTTATTTATTCAACAATGGATAGGTACAAGGCTTTATAGAGGACTAGGCTTATTGGCCTTCAACAACTAGAAACTGTTTACTAGGCTTATTGGCCTTTCATTCTTTTGCTGGCTTATTGGCCTTTTTACTCTTGGCTTATTGCTTGAGACTGGACAACTAGTTTTCAGCTTACTTCTTGATTACAATGAGAGGCTATATGCTTAGTTATAGAGGGACTAAGTCGGCAGCTTTGGAAAAGTCGGTTGCTCATGCAATTAACTTTTCCAAAGTCATTTTCAGCCACAATTTTCCTTATTTTAGATTTCTCTAGTTATAGTACATGGATGTTTCTAGTGACTTTAACTTGTCTACTTTCTCTCAATTTTTCCAAATTTTTCTTTATTATTCAAAGTACAATGTGCATTACTTTTTAACAGAGAGGATTCATTCTAGGTAGAAAAAAAAACCAGTTCAAGACACTCAGCGGCTTCCCCGACATCCTCATCTTGGTTCAACCACATAGAACCACCTAATGCCCACCACTATGAGATTGAGTATGAGTTACTACGGAGCAAGTTTGAGGTAGTACGGCGCAAGCATAAGGACAAATGGTACGGGGATGATGTGGTGCCACACATTCTGTTTTGGGTTGGTTCTGATCCTGAGTCGTCTTATTTCTGGATTTGTCCAATATCTGCTCTGCCTTCACTTTGTCTCATCTCCGTTCCCTTTGTCCTTATATATCTACTCTGCCTTCAAATTCGCTTTCACACTCACCTCCAAAATCAGATCAAACACCTCCAGAATGATGGGGCTTGTGGATTCCCACAAGCCATATTTTCTGTTTGCGTTTGTGTATCTCCTCTTAAAAAATTCCAACTTGGACTTAAGATCATGGTCTTGTATCAAGTCTAGCTGATATTTTCCACCACTGTCAGTTTATGCATTCTCCTAGTGAAAATCATATAGGTGCTGTGATGCGCATTTTGAGTTATCTAAAAGTAACTCTTGCAAGGGGTTAATGTTTTCCAAGTATGGTCATACAGATGTGGAAGGGTATACAGATATTGTGGGCTGGTTCAGTCACTGATAGACGTTCTACATCTGGGTATTTCACATTTGTTGGTGGTAATCTTGTTACTTGGAGGAGTAAAAAGCAAAAAGCGGTGTCTAGGTCTAGTGTCGAGGCCGAGTATGGTGGGATGGCTTAAGGTGTGTGCGAGTTACTATGATTAAGAAAATTGTTGAGAGATCTTGGGTTTGGACCCCATAAACCCATGGATTTGTATTGTGATAATAAGGCTTGGTTTGGGGTTGTTGTGCTTAAAAAATAAGCAGCTTTGAAAAGAAGTTTTGGAGATTTGAGTGTTTGGTAAAACCAATCCAACCTACTTATTTTAAAATCTTATGTCATCCACAGCCAAAAAGTAGAAGCAACTCACACCCTGCTTCGGAAATCTACTGCAAGGAGAAGCATGCGGAGAGTTAATTGAAACTTTCAAATTGCCCATATTGCCCTCAAGGGCGGAACCAGAAATTTTTTAATGGGTGGGCTAGCTAAAGTTATTAGCTTAAAATCTAATGATAAATTTTTTTTGTACTTACATTTTCTATAGTTTTTCTAGAAATAAAAGTATACATTAAATCATATAAATCACATAATTGTAAACACAAAGAAAAAAATTGAAATTAGAGCCATATTATTCGCGAAAGGGTGAATTTCATTTAGAAAAATGCTTCTCTTTTGGAGACAAATTAATAGAAAAATTTTAAAATTGATGTCGGGATAAACTTTGACACCAAATACAAATGTGGAAGATCTCTTACTATGCATATTGGTGGTGAAATTGTATATTTATTTATTTATTTTCAGTTAAAATATAGACTATGTATATTTAATTTGTTTTTTTCCCAAGCTGTCCCTAGGCTACAGCCAAGGGCAGCCCATGCCTTGGTTCTGCCAGTGATTGCCCTTATCTCTTCTAACAAATTACACGCTATGACACTGCTTTTTATACTCACAGCACTTTTACAAATATGAATTACCAAACACTTAGATGCTTCACTTCACAGCTGTTTATTCTTGCAGCACAACATAAGCAGTTTTTTTTTAAAAGCACAGCAATACCAAACTAAGCCTAAAGCTACAATTGCGATTGCGTATAACCCTATGCAACATGATCGTACAAAGCACGTGGAGGTTGATCGACATTTTGTTAAAGAGAAGTTGGATGCTGAAATTATTTCTTTTCCGTTTATATCATCTGAATATCAACTAGCAGATGTTCTTATGAAAGTTGTGTCTACTACGATCTTTCTCAACTCACTTCACAAGTTGGGCATGCGTGACATCTTTGCTCCAACTTGAGGGGGAGTATTAGCGAGATCATAGTTTAATTAGGATATTTATTTCCTAGTCTATTTGTCAAACAAAGTAGGGCAAATATTCAGTTATACTAATATACGCTCATATTATTATTCTTCTCCAATATGAAGGTATTTATACAAGTACAAAGATGTGTTAACCCTAAATAAAATAGGAAATATATCTAAATTACAATAGGAAGTAAATCTCTATTACAATAGGACTAAATAATAATTGGTAAGTAACCAAAATTCTAATGAAATAAGGAACCAAAATCCTAACTAAGTAAGGACTCGCCAACACTATTATGACTGTAATTAGGATTTTATCTTGTTTTCTAGTTTAACCATACTAGGGTTACACCCTTATATTATAAATACTCCTTTTGAAGAATGAAATATAATCTAAAAATATTCTACCCTTTTGACTCATATAACGTTTCCCGCTCAGACATAAACACAAAACAAAACGTTTACAAGTCCAAATTCAATTCTACAGCCAGACACGCACACAGACTGTGAGAGAGAGAGAGAGTGTTTGTGTGTGAGAAAGAGAGTGTGTGCGAGGCAGGAAGAGTAGGATAGAATGAAGTACGTTGTGGTAACAGGTGGTGTGGTCAGTGGGCTGGGCAAAGGCGTCACTGCCAGCAGTATCGGCGTCGTCCTCAAAGCCTGTGGCCTTCGCGTCACCTCCATCAAAATCGGTTTTCTTCTTCTTCTTCTTCTTCTTCTTCTTCTTTCTTTTTTCTCTTTCTTTCTTACTATCTCTACTATAAACGCTTCAATTTTTTTCTTTACTAATTTGATTTTGGTTCAACAATTTGCAGATCCATACTTGAACATAGATGCTGGCACCATGTCTCCCTTTGAACATGGGGAGGTTTTTGTTCTCGATGATGGTGGAGAGGTATTTCGCTTTGGACTTTTTTTTCTTTTTTTGGTTTAAATATTTATGATTCACTTAAGCAGTGCCAAGACAGTACGTAATACTTCACCTTGCCTCTGAAATACTATCTTTATGGTTTATGCTGCTGCTGAGCCTGAGTTTAAACTTTAATCGTAATAGGTTGATTTAGACCTCGGCAACTATGAACGATTCCTAGATGTCGCTCTTACTAGGGACAACAACATTACCACAGGGAAGATATATCAGGTGTGGGCTTATATTTTCCTAACAGGGATGTGTCTCCATCTATCCCCTTCATGAAATGTTGATTTTTTCTTTTAATGGGTTCCTCAATTTTATTTTTGAAATCAGTCTGTCCTGGATAAGGAGCGGAGAGGCGATTACCTTGGAGAGACTGTTCAGGTGGTGATACAAAATTACAAATCTTAATGAATCATAACTTTATTTTTTAAATTTTTTTTTTTTAGCACTTGCATACACTACTAATGACTGGCTTCCTGCCATGTTTGAGTCGATTTAGGTTGTTCCACACATCACTGATGCCATTAAGACCTGGGTCGAATCAATTTCTCTCATTCCTGTCGATGGAAAAGAGGGCCCTGCAGATGTTTGTGTTATAGAGTTGGGTGGGACTGTGGGTAAGCGACAGTTAAAATATATTCACTTTATATGACTCATTGTTCTTTCTCTGTGTTTATGTGCAAGAGCTAACTATTTTCTTTCTTCTTAGGTGACATGGAATCCAGGCCATTCATTGAGGCTCTGCGCCAATTGTCTTTTTCAGTTGGTAAGGTTGTGGTGTATGCTGTTTTTTGAGGAATTTTAATGGTTCTATTTATGAGATCATTTCTTCGCCCACATGCTTGATTCAGATTGGTGATTATGTTTTTATGCTCTGTGGTCAAAATAGATCATCCAATTACTGCTGTAGGAATATGCATTGAGATCTGATAAGGACATGTTTAGATTGTTGGTCCATTATGTTATGAGCGCTAATAAACTTGATATACTTCCACTGTTTAAACTTCATCGAGAGCTTGCTGCTCTGTTTTTTCCGGTGTATAGATGTAATGGAATGTGGGATCTCCAGAACTAAAAGTAACCAATTATTTCCATATGGAGTTGATATCCACTTGGATTTGAACTTTCATTGTGTTAATGATAACTGCTTATGTGGATTTAATTCTTTCCTCAGGGCAAGAAAACTTCTGTCTTATTCATGTGAGCCTGATCCCGGTACTGGGTGTTGTTGGAGAGCAAGTAAGACTTTGTACTTAATTGTTGAATGTTATGTTTCTTCATTAGTTCCTCATAGTAGTTTGTAATCTTAGATATTAAAGTTGACTATATCTTTTGAAGAATTTGATTCATCTTTTTTTCTGGGTGACTGACTCTTACTCTCTTTTTGCATGTGTCTGTGTGCGTTCATGTAGAAAACAAAGCCTACCCAACATAGTGTGCGGGATCTAAGAAAATATGGCTTGACTCCTCATCTATTAGCATGTCGCTCTGCGCAGGTACTTCTTTTCATCTATCTTGTTCTTACATTCACACAAGTCAAATAAGCAGATAAATTTAGCCTGAGAACTTTCATTAGGTCCCATTTAAGTCTTGCTTGGACACCTCATATTGGTGCAGTGTGGCCACCTGACTCCCTTTCTATTTTATTCTATCATTATTTCGTCAAGATTAAATTTGGTGGAGATGATTTTTTTTGTGTGACTATATTGCAGCCATTATTGGAAAATACGAAGGAGAAACTTTCACAACTTTGTCATGTTGCAGTAAGTTGCTGAATTAATCCTATTTGGGTTTTTTTCTCATCAAACTTTGTTTTCTTGATTACAAGTTTTATATTTTCTTTTTTGTTTTCTTACAGCCTAGTAATATTCTCAATATCCATGATGTACCAAACATTTGGCACATTCCTCTCTTACTTAGGGTAACAATTCTCTGTCTCCTTGGAGGCTTAAATACTTATTTTACATTTTGTCTAAAGTTTTGTTCTAACTATTGTTTGACACGTTGCTGTTCAGAACCAAAATGCTCATCATTCAATTCTTCAACAACTAAATTTACTAAGTTAAGTTTCACTGTTTACTTCAGATTTAAGGCTTCAATTTTGGTGCTGGACTGATAATTAGCCTCAGCCTGTTTAAAATTCTTCCTGTGTAATGAGAACAAAGCAATCTCTACGTAGAATTATGCCTGACTTGGACTCCTTTAGTTGATATTTGTGCTCTCTCTCCCTCTCTAATGATTGCAATTGTGATTATAGACTACATTTGTGATTCATTATGAAGCTCGAAATGCTACATATATAGATTACAGGAAGGTTGGCTATGTTAACTTACTGGTGTTTAATGTTTTGTTTCAGCATTGCTATGCCTCCTGATTTAAGAGATTGGACCAAGATGGCAGAGACTTACGATAATCTCACAAATTCTGTGAGTGTTATTAGATAACTGTGCAATGCTCTATGTTGGAACATTATCTCTTTTATTTTTCGATTCATCCAATGATAATCTGTTGATATTTGCAGGTGAGGATTGCCATGGTGGGGAAGTATGTTGGCTTTACAGATTCATATCTATCTGTAGTGAAGGTGTGATGCTAACTTCTGTTCTATTTTTTCGTTGGCTGGATAGATGGTGTATATGATCTCTAGTTTAGACCTTAGAATTTAGTTATTCATATAACATTCAGTTAATATGTGAGTTAGTGCTACTATGTCTCCCTGTTGCTTTGTGCCGTACTTGCTTGTTAGATTATTTTGTTGTTAATAAATCGCCAACTTTACGTCTGTCGTATTACGACGGCTAAACTTTCTTGCAGGCCCTTTTGCATGCTTGCGTCGCATGTTCTTTAAAGCCATCAATTGACTGGATTTCCGCTTCTGACCTTGAAGATGACAGTGCCAAACTGGTATTGAACCACATCATTTGTGCTGATTTGCTTTAATATCGTGTTCATATTATCTTTACTTTAGATTTGTCTTTCTCCTACAGACACCAGAAGCACATGCTGCTGCATGGGAGACTCTAAAGGTACGCTTTAAGCTAAATTATCATCCCCTCGCCAGTACAGTTGAGGGTCTGGGTAATTATGTTTCGATCTATTCTACATTTGCAGAATGCTGCATGCGTCTTGGTTCCTGGCGGATTTGGAGATCGTGGTGTGAAAGGTATGATATTAGCTGCAAAGTATGCCAGAGAGAACAATGTTCCTTATCTTGGGATTTGTTTGGGCATGCAGATTTCCGTGATTGAGTTCGCAAGATCCGTAAGCAACATTTCTTTCACTAACATGTTTTCTTCTAATTTTAAGATCATATATCAGCCCTAATTTAATTACTTGTTTTAGGTCTTGAGTTTAGAAAGGGCGGACAGCACAGAGTTCGATGAACATACACCTAATCCTGTTGTAGTTTTTATGCCTGAGGTACAAATTTATGGTGATGCTTTCCTATTCAGTTATGAAATACATGGCTGCAACATTCTTCCCGTGATAGTTCATTCTTTTATGTCTGCATATAGGGTTCAAGAACACATATGGGAAGCACAATGAGACTAGGATCCAGAAGAACACTTTTCCAGACTCCTGATTGCATTACTTCAAAGCTGTATGTTCATTATCTATATTACTACGTTCAACTTGAGATATACAACAGATAACCTGTCTGTTACTGAAAATTCAAATTATAACTTCAGTTACCTTGTTGCATTTATACAGTAAAGTCGATGCGGGTGCCATGTGTTCAAACACTGCCGGTCTGGAAGAACCCATGGCACACGCAATTGAACTTTTACCTTTATTGCATTTATACTGTAAAACTCTTGAACTTTGTTGGCTAGTTTATTTTTTTGCAGGATGTCTTTCCTGACATCTCAACTATATGTTGTATCTGTGACTGCTTATATCAAAACTAATCCCAGAAGACCACCACTTTGAAACTTCTTAGTTTTCCACTATTAGCATCCACTTTTAACATTCGTAATCTGTTATTGCTATCAATTTCTAGGTACCATAACTCGGAGCATGTGGATGAACGGCATCGGCATAGATATGAGGTTGGTTGTAATTTAGTTCAGGTGAAACATGATCTTTCACAAGTGCCTTTATGTGGTGGACATGGTCTGATTCCGTCATGATGCAGGTGAACCCAGATGTTATTGGAATTCTTGAAGAAGCGGGCCTAAAATTTGTAGGGAAGGATGACAGTGGAAGACGAATGGAGGTGGGTTTTCTGCTGGTCTTATGCTCACTTGTAGTGAGCCTTTGTCAGAATTTACTTGGTTATAGTTGCACACAATCCTTTCCTACCATTTACTGAAAAGGATTGAATTTGAATATTTGACTTTGTACATGATTTGTGTTACTTTTCTGTTCTGCAGATTTTAGAGCTTCCAAGCCATCCATTCTATGTAGGAGTGCAATTTCATCCAGAATTTAAATCACGGCCTGGGAAGCCCTCAGCTCTCTTTTTAGGTACTAGTACAAACAAGTGAGCTTTAGATGTCATATACTCACATTTCCTGTTATTACTGGGAGACATGCATCTTTGAATTACTATGTCTCTCTGCTGTATCTCTAGTGTTTGATATAGAACTTGGGCCATGCTTGTTTCGAAGTACATTACGGATTGTCTCTTTACAATTCCCATTTACATTCAGTGAAGCTCTATCAAGTCATTAAGTCTCTGTACTTCATTTGACATCTGTGACATTGCAATTCTAGGTCTTATCTTGGCAGCAACAGGGCAGTTGGAAACATATCTTGACCAGCATCCAAATACAAATTGACAGCATTGAGCCGCTGTCTCAATATTCCCAGATAATTTTTTCAAGGTAGATTTGAATGTGGAGGTGGATGGGGCCTAGTGTAGTAAAAGCTAACTTCAAACTTGAACATGGATCGCCGTATGATGGAAATTTACGATGAAAGTGGATCCTGATTGCGGAGCTAGCATCTTATCTTACTGTGGTTACATGATTTATCGTGCTGCTCAGTTCAAAGCTTATTCAAATTCTTATTTTTCGGAAGGATTTCTGTAACTCTTGGAATTTTCTTTTCATCATTTATTCACACTTCAAATATGAAGGCATTTGATTCAACCCAAAACAAATGACAGATTATTGTTTTAAAATATTTTGATTTTGTTTTTAATTTATCAAATAGAAAATGTAAGTGTAAAGTTCTTTACTTTAGTAAGGCCAAATGATTGTACAATATTGCAGTTGATGCCGCAGACTCACACTGTACTCTGTATGCGCGAAAGGAAGACAGATACATTAGGATAGGAGCTCTAGTCTGTTAGAGGATGCTCTCTATTTTTTAGGTAAATTTTAGTTTAAAACATATAAAAGCTATTTTAGGAGCTCTCTATAAAATTTAAACTCCAATCATGTTCTCTAATTTAGCGAGTCATAAATGCTTTAACTCTTTTTTAATTGGTCAATCTCTTTGAAAAAAATAATATTAAAAATAATTAATATTAACTAAAGGTTTGAAATACTCATTAAATAACCTTATTTTATGAGGTGGATAAGAAGCATGGTTGGAGTTGTATTTTTCCAAATTCTCCCTAAAATTTGTCTAAGGAAGTGATTTAGGGAGCCCATTGTGGATGCTCTTAACACCACATGGTCATGAATCATGATCATATGGGCATTCAATTTCCTTCCATTTTAAGATTCTGAACCATGTTCAAAATGAAAAGACAAATTAAGAAACTCGGTAGTTCTCAAGTGGTTAAGAGTAGTTTTTTTAAATTGGCATCTATCCAAGGTTATGTGTTTGAATTTGCCCTCCTCCAATATCGTTCGTGTCAAGAAAACAAAACAAAGAAGAGAAGAGACTATGAACTGCAAAGCTCTATTTATTAATATCTCGTTTGGGAATGCTTCTCTAGGAAGTACTTCTGCTCATAAGCGCTTCTAACAAAAGCGCTTTTATTATAAAAATCTTGAATTTTCATAAAAAATTAAAGTGCTTCGTGGAAAAGCACTTGGGAGTGCTTCCTGAAGAAGCACAGAGCAGGTGCTTCTCCAAGAAGCGCTTCTATGACCCAAAAACGCTTCTAAATTTTTCTGCCAAACGCTGTCAGAAGCGCTTTTAGTTATTAGAAAGCGCTTTTGGCCCTTTCAGAAGCACTCCCAAACAGGCCCTTAATATTGTCGGAAACACTCTAATTAACCTGTCAAATCTACAAAAATGCCGCAATAATATATTGCCTATTTTACAAAATACAATGAAAACAAGAAACAACGGGAAAAGAAAAGAGAGAGATTTGGGATTTGGGATTTGGGATGGACGGAGATGATGTAGCTGGTAGCGGGTGTATTGTATATTAATTAAGCATGCGTTTGAGTGTAGTGTAGTGTAGTGTAGTAGTACTAGAGGAGTAGTGTAAGTATGAAATCTGTCTTTGGAGTTTAATTTGCTGACAGAATTTAGCTATGAACTCATCCGCCTTTATATCAACCAATTCGCCCTCATAATCTGCACATCCCTTTTCTTCATGCACATTAATAATAGTACTATCTTCAGTTATCATTCCCTCCTCATCATCATCATAATCTAAGTGATCATGTCGATTTCATGATGATCATCAAAATCCAGTACTAATGATGGGTTTAAGCAAGGGATATTAATGAAGCGCATGGAGGAGGAGGATGTTCGACGGTTCAATTTGAGGGTGGGGAAAATGGGGGTCTTATCGAAGGACAGCTGACGCTCAAAGTAATATTGATTATCATTGCGATGATGATGATGATGAGCAAGGCTTTTGAGGAAGTAGGGGATAACCCGCAGTTCCATCATGAGGCGTCGTCTGAAGACACCGCCTTTTCTTGCCCAAGGCAATGCCAGATACAGCAGCTTCCATGCTCTACGGCCCACATCAGGATGATGATGATGATGATGATGATCACCATTAATAGATTTCTTGGACATCTTCATCATTATATCGATCGTCAACAATTGAGTATGATGATTTGGTGGAAAAAGAAGGTGCCGCTTAATTAGGTAGCTGATGATACAAAAATGTGGGAGTAAAGAGAGACAAATGAGAAAAGCTGATTTGATTTTGTATCTGGTGCTGACTAATGAATATGTCTTTTGTTTGGAAGATATAAAGACTAAGTGATGACGACTCACAGGACAGGAGGTACCTCTCTATAACCAATGCCTGTATACTTTACAAAAACATCAGCCACACCAATGCCAACGCAAAACATAAAGGCAAAGCAGAACATAAAGGCCTCTTTCCTGACACCAGAAGAGCACACAAGCTTAGAACATTTACCCAAAAAACCCTACAGCAAATGAAGTGGATGTTCATTCATGCGTTTCAGGGAAGAAAACAAAGGAACAAAACGGAAAAATTATGAATTGAAATTACTCAAGACAGAGAAGAAAACAGCTTGCAATACAGGAGGGCTAAACTACAAAAAAACTAGTTCTGCGGAAAAACAAGTTCATTAAAACTTACATATATGAGATAGGAAAATTTCAAAGTCAGATGCGAAAATTCTCATTGTAGATGGAGGCATACATTCAAAAGTTCGGCCATTTAAAGTTCCTAATCCTAAATCCTTCCCCTAATCCTCTTCTGCATCTGCTTTATCCTTTTTCTTCTTCTTCTTCTTTTTCTCACTCTTATCAGCCTCGCCATCACCCTTCAAGTCATCAGCGCCAGCGGGAGTCGCAGCACCATTTTCCTCAGCCTCTTTGTTTTTCTTCTTCTTTTTCTTCTCAGACTTTTCGGTTTCAGGTGAACCAACTTCAACTTTATCTTTGTGTTCCTTCTTCACCTTCTTCTCTGACTTCTCCACATCTGAAGCCTCCAAAACACCGTTCTCTTTGTCCTTTTTCTTCTTCTTCTTCTTTTCTGACTTCTCAACTTCTTCACCTTTGCTTTTCTTAGCAGGAACAGGAACAGGGCTCTCTGCCCTTTCCTCTAGTTTGCGCTTACGACTCTCCTTAGCTTCCTCTTCATCCTTGTGTTTGTCCTTCTTTTTCTTCTCCTTCTTCTCCTCTACAAGAGTGGTCTCCTTCTCTGCCGGAGCAGGTTCAGTGGCAAGCGCAGCAGCAGTGCCTGCAACAATAGAATCCCCACCTGTAGGTAAAACCACATTCCTCGTCCATTCTTGAGGGGTACTCTCAGTAGGCTTCCCATGCTTATCTAATTTCCCTTCTGCAATTAACTTCTTCTTCATGGACGCCCTTGGTCCCAATCCCCACTTCCTTGGGTAAGTATCCCGATCCATCACCACCCTCTTAATCTTTGCCACCACACCATGATCACAAGTTGCCATCACAGCAGTGGTCATCTCAGCAATTCCCAATGCAATTGCTTCTCCTTTGGTAGTCATAAGCACAACTTCCTCTCCAACCTCAATATCATTCTCAAACCTGAGCAGCCCTGGAATCATTAACTTGGCACCATAGCAAATAGCATTCACAGCTGAGTCCTTGACAACCAATCTCTTATAACTGGTCAACAGCACCTCAAGAGGCATGATGATCCTCCTCAAATAACTCTCATCCCTATGATTATCGTACACCCATTGAGCATCCATGACATCGTGCATGGTAACCATGTTGTCTTTCTCGCCCATAATTCCAGACCTGACCCTCCTCAGCTCCTGCATATGCCCTCCCACTCCAAGAAGCAGACCCAAATGCACACACAGGGTACGCACATAGGTTCCTGCCTCACATGAAATCCAGAAAACGACCAAATGTTTATCTGCATCAAACTCAAGTAGCTTGCTTTCATATATAGTCCTAATCCTAAGCTGCCTCTTGACTGCTGATATCAAAGGCGGCCTCTGAAAGACAGCCCCAGTAAGGGCTTCAAGGGCCCGAGCCACCTTGGCAACATCAGGCACGGCCGAATGCAAGCGTGCAACACAGACATACTCTTTCCCTGCACCCTGCTGGGACTTCACAAGTCGCGTAGCTCGGTCAATACAGACAATGAGATTACCTGTAACCTTGGGATCCAGAGTACCACTGTGGCCAGTTTTCTCTACACGAAGGATGCGTTTAATCCAAGCAACAACCTCGTGCGAGGAGGGGTTGGCAGGCTTGTCAAGATTGATAACACCATATCGGATGTACTCGGCAAGAGGGCGCTTAAGTGGGGAATACCCAGAGGGAAGAGGGGTGTAGTGTCCAGTTCGAACATTGAGGCGGTCGTAGTTCTTGAGAAGGATAGGCCACTGAGAGGTGTCCATGGAGGGAGTCGAGCTCTGGGGCTTAATCATGAAGTCTTTGTCCAAATCATTGTCTTTGTCTCTATGCTTCTTCTTCTTCTTCTCTGTGTCTGTCACTTTCGCCACGGCCTTCACTGGGGTTCGATCATCATCAGACGAAGCCATTTCCTGCACTTTAAACAGAACAATAGGTAAAACCCAACATCAAATACAAATTTTATTCTGGACAATATTTACGAGAAAACAATAGCTCTGATTTTTCATTTGTCAAAAAAAGACTTCATTAATCATATTACTCATAACAGAGGTACATAGTGACTTTCCTACACAAAGCATTGTCATTAAGATCCCAGTCCAGAGATTTACACAAAATATCAGGGGGTTTTACAAATAAACACTGACATGTTTGGCTAGAATATGAACAACCCTATCAGCTTCTAAAGACAAAAGAAGAGACTTGTACATAAAAAATCACTTGAAGTACGCCCAAATAAGACCCTTCATAACAGAAAACCCAAAAGAGTTTCTGGGTTTCTAACTTGTTTTTCAACTAGATTACTCTTCGCATCTATCAAACTCTCCGCTTACACAGAAATGAAGAAACCATATATAAATAACTTTAAAGGGTTCAGAAGCTCTTATATGAACAAGGTTTAGTTCTGGTTTACCACAATACGATAAATTCCAATATGATCAAAGCTCTTCCAAAACGTCAAGTAGAAAACCAATACCTTTGATTTTGATTTCTGCTTTGAGCAAACCCTTGAATTGGAAAGGTTGAGAGAGCGGCCACCCTGTGGTTCTCACTTCACTTCACTCGCTTCGCTTTTGTCCTCTAAACCCTAGTCGAGGGTTTAAAAGCACCTTTTACCGATGCGTCGTCGACCAAACCCAAATTGGTCTTTCAATGATGAAACACTCTTTTGGGCTCATTGTTGTTTTTAAAAAGATTTTTTTATTTTTGCCCTTTGGGCCTTGATTTGGACTAAAAAGACAATGGCCCCAAAGATTAAAGAGCTCTTTACAGACATTATCTCAAACCCTACAAAAAACATACCTAGGCCTAGGGTCGGTTCGGTAATCGAATCGAGACAGCCAAATCAACAACCGATCAACGACTGTTAAAATGTCACAATTCAAAATCGTTACCTAACTGACTGATTCTTGCGTTCATTGATCATTCAAGTTTTTGAAAGCGGCTCGATTCTTGTTCGGCCAAAGGACCTTCATATCCAAAATTCACAACAAAAAAATCATTCTTATTTCAAAAAATTGACCAAAAAATACTATGAACTCTTTGTAACATGCACTTTTATTTTATAATCTCAAATTCACAATTTGACCCCAAAAATTTCGTTTACAAGTTCCACATAAAGCAGAAAAATGAAATTAATTACCAAACAACTTTTGTTCACTTTTTACTTTTTAAAAAAACAAAAAATAGTTACTGAACAAGTTCATTTTTTAGAAAATAAAAACTAATAATTGAAAACTAAAAACTAAAAACTGAAAATGGTTATAGGGGCCTTAAAAATGCATGTAAACCAACTAGTAGTTGTTTAGTTGTTTAGAACCCTAAGCTTAAATGTAGTCAGTGGACCCAAAATTTTGTCCATCTAGAGGTGTAAAAAAATAATTTCATGAATGACTCCTACAAAGTTTAGGTTTTCATAGCAATACGATATATATTATAACACATAATCTATGTCATTAATTTTTTAATATATGATTTTGGGCCAAAATCTAAGGCTTTATATATTGGACCACATGTTTATCAAGTCTTAGGTCTTGATATTTTCAATATAAGAGAGGTTTTGGGCTAAAACCTTGAAGGCTTTACTTATTTAGAGTGCTGAGTGGGGATTTTGCATGCAAAATATTAGCCAAGTGTTTTATTTTTATGGGTAAACTACCGAAATGCCCCCTGAACTTGTACCTAATTATCAATTTACCCCCTGACCTTTTTTTTTAGCGAATTAAGGACTCGAATTAAATTTTATTCTCAATTTCCCCCCTGCCGTCTAAATCAACAACATGTCATCCAATAATCCGTTAAATTATTAAAAAAATATTATTATTTTTTTGAAAAAATTAAAGAAAAAAAAACAAAAATGAAAAAAAAAATCCTATGGCTTTTCTACACAGAAAAGAAGAATTATGAAAAACATCCTCAAGTAAATAAAAGTACAGCCAAAATTGGAATTACCTAACTAGAAGGAAAAAAAACAAGGGATTTAAACTAGTTCAGTTTAGTCTTCTTTGTCGATCACCTTGGTGCCCAAACCAGTAAATCCATCTGGAGGGACCTCTGTAACAGTGACTAGTGAGTATAACTCCTCATTGGCATCTGCATCCTCATTTCTCTTCCGTGCAATGCGGACGCGTATCCTTCTAGGACCACCAACCCTTCACTCCAGACCAATCCACCTCTCTTCCTTCAGTTTTTTTTACCCCCAGACCATTCACCCCTTCCCATCCTAACCTGATTCCCCCATGACTACCACCCCTCAACGAACCCAGAACCCACAGACCCAACCCCATCCCCCATCACAGACCTACCCCCCCATGAACCACCGTTTTCTTCTCCCCTATTCCCTCATGACCACCACCGCAAGCCACCCTTCCTTGCATCCTTAGTCCCCATAGAAATCATCCGCACAACCCCAACCTTTCAAATCAATATCCTAACCCCAAATTCACAACCATCGAATTATTCCAAATTAAAACAAATAAAAAAACAAAACTAATTGGTTTCTGAAAACCACGAATTTGACCACAACAATCTTGTGCGTAGTGTTTCTCTCTCTCTCTCTCTCTCTCTTCTTCACCAAGCCCACTTGTCACATCCCGGATCGGCTTTGCCGTAGCACGATATTGTCCGCTTTGGGCCCCCCCTCTCTGGCCCTCACGGTTTTGTTTCTGAGAGCTCACGACCAACTTCCCAGTGGGTCACCCATCCTGGGATTGCTCTCGCCCCCAACTCGCTTAACTTCGGAGTTCCTACAACTCCGAAGCCAGTGAGCTCCCAAAAGGCCTCGTGCTATATGGATGCGGGTGTGTACATATAAGGCACATCACCCACTCTCCGTTGGTCGATGTGGGATCTCACATACAAACTCAAGTGTTGGTGGTGGTGAGTGAATTTGAAGAACCCCGTTGTGTTGTTTGAGCACCAATGCTATCTACAAATAAAATAACATAAATTTAGTACATTTTATTATAAGAAGAAGCATAAATAACATGAGCATAAATAATGGGTGTGAATAGAAAATATTGTATGAAATATGTTGTATGAAATATATTTTTAGCAGAGAAAGAGATAGGGCAGAAGGGCAGAGGCGGAGGTGAAGGGGGTAGGGTGGGTGGGTCCTACTCCTTTGTTTATAAATAAAAAAAAAATTTCATTTTTATGTCATTTTATTTTATTTAAAAGTATTTAATTATTTTAAACATATGAAATGACCAATTTGCCCTCATATTTGACGGATTATTGGATGACATGTTATTGATTTAGACGGTAAGGGGGGAATTGAGAATAAAATTTAATTCGAGCCCTTAATTCGCTAAAAAAAAAGATCAGGGGGTAAATTGATAATTAGGTACAAGTTCAAGGGGTATTTCGGTAGTTTACCCTATTTTTATTGGTAAAGTGTTTGGCTAGATGGGTGAAGAAAACACTTAAGTGTGGGCAGCTGCCCACAATAGGCATGTATTGAGTCCGCCAGTGAATGTAGTTAGTTATTATAAGATTGTCTTTTTCCCTTTGTCCGCTTTGGGCCCCTCTCACGGTTTTTGTTTCTGAGAACTCACGAGCAACTTCCCAGTGGGTCACCCATCCTGGAATTGCTCTAGCCCCAACTCGCTTAACTTCGGAGTTTTTATGACTTCGAAGCCAATGAGCTCCCAAAAGGCCTCGTGCTAAATAGAGGAGGGCATGCACATATAAGACACATCACCCCCTTTCCGTTGGTCGATGTTGGATCTTACAGAGCATCTCCAAAAGATGTTAAATTGCCCCGTGGACATGAAACGGCAAAAATTAAAGGTTAAAATTACTCCAACCAAGTCAAAACCTAAGTGAATTTAAAGGCTCGAAGATATATGTCAAAAATAGCATATCAAAAAGCTTGATGTCAAATATTATCTTAATATTTCACTCTTTTTTAAAACTTCATGATCATATGGATCCCATTTGCTTTAAAAATATAATAAAATAATATGATATTGGCATTTTGGATGAAGTTGAAATTTTTTTCCCTAAATGTCAAATTGCCACATTGCCACATAAGCCATCAAATTCAAATTTAACATTTTGCATTAGACATCTCCCTTTGAATAAGCAACAATCTCAGCTAGTAGTAGTACATCCATATGTCCACCTGAATTTTGGGCATTTTTCATAGAATCTCACAACAATAAATGAATGCATCGATGTCACAACTACGTATGAATTAATGCATGCTAGAGCTACAAGGGCTCGTTTGGTACGCAGGACTGTCTTGGCATGGATTATGCTTAAGTACTGTCATGGATTAACTTGGCTTGGACTAAGTTTAATAAGACTTGTCCTGCGTTTGGTATAATGCTGGACTGGGACTTAAATAAAAATATGTTTATTTAATTAATTAAAAAAAATTAAAAATAAAAAAACTAATAAAAATAATTTTTTATTTAACCCATAGCCAGAATCGCCCAAAACCATCGACAACAAGCCACTGGATCTCTGCAAGGGAAGCCAGAGTTCCCCAAAAACCATCAGCACCATCCTCTCCTCTTCATCTCTCTCTCTCTCTCTCTCTCTCTCTCTCTCTCTCAATTTTGGTTCTTCCATTCCATGGCGATTTCAGATTCGCCCAGGCATCGCAGGCATCAACACGAACCCTCGCACTAACTCAGATCCATGGGATTTGTTCAGCGATTGCTCGACGGCCAACTATTGTGTTCTGGAGTCATTGTTGATCAAGAACTTGGCTTATTTGACGGACAGGGGAGCAGGAGGATGAGCATCCTTAATTTTGATCTCAAGTGAATGATGATGATGTTATTTGTGAAGCCAATGTGTTGAATCGGAATGGGGATGATGGTGATTACATGGACTTGAACTGAGTGGCTGAGTACGAGCACAGAACGCACGATATTTTTATTTTTTTTTATTTTTTCTGAAAATGCACGGGATTGTTTAGTCCCTTCCTTTTGCACGGGACTAACTAACACCTGCTAAGGAGGGGTTTTTAGTAGGCCCCACATTAGTAATCCCTGCTTAGAACTAGAATTGGGCGAACCAAACATGGGCCTAATTTTAATCTAATCCAATCCAGGGCTGGGAGGTGTACCAAACGAGGCCCAAAAGTATAGTCCAATTGCACCAAAACTATATATACTTTCAAGACTCGTACACCAGGGAATATAAAGCAGAGAAGCATGTATCCTTTGATCATGCAGAACATTCCCATTTCACAAAATATTGGCACAGTTTCAAATCAGTTTGAAAAGGGAAGAGAGAAATGGGCTTGTATTCCCTTGCTCAATTAAACGATAACACTTTACACCAGACACAGGATTAATTATAATTACAGATTTATTGGGAAAGAAATTGACATTGAACGGAACAGAGGGGCGCAAGGCGAATTTAGCGGTTGATCAAAAAACTCAAGATGAAATCAATGATTTGTGATCATGTCCCTATATGAACGGTTTCCGGCCCCACGACTGGTTCAAGTGATTGACAATTTCCTCAGTTTTTGCAGCCAAGGCAGCTGTTGAACAAATAGGGGGGCTGCAAGCCATGTTCCAATGGCAATTCAATCACTGGAATTTGTTTGTACATAACAAAATCATCCATCAAGGGCCCTGTCATAACTTTGAGTGCTGTCTCCAGGGGCATCCACCATCAAAAGCCTGCTCTAACACGTCTTCCATTCGCTTTGCTACTATTATCTGTTACAAAAGGATTTTTCCAAATGAAAAATACGTTATGGTCACAATCATATCTCATACGATAAAAAACCTAACAGGGTTACAGGGGTATCTACAGCTGACAATGCAATCAAAACACCTAACAGGCTATGCAGGTGGCAAAGGTAATCATCTGGCCTTAATACAATTTATGTCCTACAAGCAGCTGTGTAAGTGAGAAACCCCTTGCTGCAAATAAAACCAAAATTACCTCAAGACCAGAAAGCACAGCTGATGGTACTTCGATTAAGTCCTTCAGATTTCTTTCTGGAAGAATGACTCTTTTAATACCACAACGGTGGGCCGCTAATACCTGCAATAATGTTGATTCAGATAATCAATCCAAGAAAATCTATGCAATAACGTACCAGAATATTATACACTGAGAAATTTGCTGCCAACTAGGACCCAAATTTCTTGTAAAATGCTTAAAAATTCCTCAAATCCATACTGAATAGTGGAATCATCAAACAACCATGTGTCTAAAAACAAGCCTAGCAGTGACAGCACAAATTAGAAATGAGCACGGAGATGCATTGGACAACCGTGTAGTGTGTATACCAAAAAGCTATTTTACTTTTATCAATCTAGCAAAGCGAAATGTTGTGACATATATCTAGGTTCAATGGCTAGAGAAAGCCAACAGACATCAACAATAATAGTTTCAGATATTTGGGAAAAACAAAATCCATGTGGTCTGCATTCACAGGTATCAAGAAATTAAATTACATCTGGAGATTAGGTAGCTCGCTCTAATTGACGAACCCTAACCTCCAGTACATCTAACTCTCTTCTAAACACATTTGTTGGTAATGGAAAACTCAAAGACAGCCCTTAAATTAATTGGGTTACACAAAATAAACCGGATTGACCCTTTAATTTAGTGTAAATGCAATTGAACCAGATAAGTGGTAAAACCAATGCACGAACATACACACATGTATGTTGATTGATTTTCAAAATTATACCAGAAGTGCGGGTCAAGCTAGCAAAAGTGTAACACGGGCTCCATGAGCTTAAAACAGACCTGGCAGGATATCTAATAGTCGTGCAGAACTTGGCAACATTATGGGCCATACCAAACACGAACACACGCCAGGTACAACTCATATCACAACAAGGATTAAAAACATTTAAATCTAGCATGGATATGTCAATGCTTTGTGTTTGTGCCATGCTTGAAGAAGGAAAGGACAGAATTTAATGGGTGATGCTGACATCACAAAACCTATTTTACATCTATAATTTAGGACTCAAGGCATCTTAAAATTTTAATAAACATGCATCTCACACAAAATTCTTATCATAAAGGAAATTTAAACTACTTAGATACTAATTCCTTGGAAAACCGCACTCAATTATGCATCAAGCATCAATTTGGCTAGATGATGGTTACAGAAAATAGAAAAGATGCTAAAATGGAATGACTGTTGAGTAGTATAGCCTGGTGATTATAAAAATGAAAGTACTACTACAAGTGAAAATCTCTATGCCAGACAAGTATGATGTACAATACTTGTCCATAAAAGGTTAAAACCAAGGTTGCATCTATGGTCATGTTAACATGCCCGACACGCACACAAGCCAAAGCACTTGACAAGGCAGTGACTGCAAACTGCAAACTAAGAACATGACTAGATACAAAAGCCATCATTTCATTTTGTAAGCCATATATAACATGTTTTATACATGGAGACCGACTTATGTACAAAGTCACAGCTATATACTTCTCATAAGAATAGTAGGACATAAGGTGTACCTTATCCTTGATACCACCAACAGGTAGTACAAGACCTCTCAATGTCATTTCTCCAGTCATAGCTGTATCTGCTCTTACTCTTTTCTGACTGAACAATGAAACCAGTGCAGTTACCAGAGTCACACCTGCCGAAGGTCCATCCTTGGGTACAGCCCCAGCAGGAAAATGTATATGAACATCCCGACCCTCCAAAAGATTGGTTTCGTCAGCTGTTGCCAACAGAAGATCTCTTGCCCTGGCTCTTACCTGGGAGATAATTAGAGTCTTCAAAACTAACTTTTACATGAGTAGAAATTATGACATTATGTTTCATGACTATATTTTACAATCAGAGTATGGTGCACACAGGACTAATTTTTTTCTCTATCATTCAATCCCAGAAACAGAAGTAAATATGACTAGGATCTCAACAGAAATGCCTCCATCAGTAAAAAGCAACACTTTGTACTTTTAAAATTTGAGAATACAAAAATCTCATATTTGCTATTCTAACTCTAAGCCTTGCATCTCAATAAAATACTAGGTCTCTTCACCTATTTCCAATTGGTTTGGATTGGATGCTCCAACTTTCACATGGTATCAGAGCCTGTAATCCATCCACAAGATAGGGCCAATTTGGCCACGCATGCTCCAAGCCACAAATATAATTGATCTGCATCTGGCTCAGTCACTATACGTGAGTGGACGTGCTGAGCACAAAAAAATTCTCACAACGGGTATTCAAAGTCCAAGCATTGCATCTCAACACACAAAATACCGGGGTCAGGGAGGGGGGGTCATGGATCGTCTTTACCATTGCCAATTACTTTTTAGCCGGATGCTCCAATTTTAATATGTCACTATTTATGGGAAAGCAACGAGGCATGCAAACTTCAATATCACATATCCCCAAATTGAAACTGACAAGTATCGAACTTCTGTGTTTCTCTTCTTTTTCATTAAAACAGTATTACACTCTCTCTTTGATAATTACAGATATCAAGTGGCTGAGACTAACAGTAAGTCCCATTAGAATCTCTTAGTTGTCTTAAAAATCAATTTGAGAATCACGGCATGCATGAATTACCAATTAAAACCAATTCAAAAGTGTGATCATTGAGGCACCCCAAGAAATGTTTGACTCGTGACCAAGCGGCAGGTATTAGTACTTCAAAAATATAAAGATAATTAAAAGAAAAAATTACCCATGTCAATGCTATTTGTGCTGATTCTTTTATAACATCTCCAAGTTGGCCAGTGAGATGTAATTCACCCTTTCCCCCCATTGCTGTAGCCTCCACAAATTGGACCTCTCCACCAACAGAAGTCCAAACAAGCCCAACAGATACACCAGGTGTTGCAACCCGTTCTGCAGCTTCTTTGTCATCAAACCTTGGAGGCTGCATTACAACACACACAGACAACCTCAGAATCTCTTAAGCAACATGACAGGTCAACCTCCAAGATTTAATGCATGAGAAATCCAAGATGCATTGGTTATAAAAAAAAAGTATTCCAGTTTCTGGAATGTTGAGCCTAAAACTCACTTGAAAAGACTCCTAAACATTCATTTACATATAATCATCTAGATAAGAGCCCTGAAGTGGCTATACTTCATTACAAAGGACTACCTAACAATAAGCTGAAGCAACCTATCCTAATTATTAAAGAAAAAAACAAAAATAATTACCCCTAATACTTTTTCCAGCATATCCTCATCCACAGTCAATGGCGAAGCAATCTTGAAAGTGCTTGATATCTCGTGATTATTCACACCCATTGGAATAACCTCCATTTCCACTTCAGCTCCATCAGCAAGTCTGTTTTCAAGAAGTGGTGAAGCAAGCGAGTGCACATCTTTGATCGGAGAGACAGCTGGTTCTTGCTCTGCAACTCTTACAGCTGCTGCACGAGCCAAAGCAGCCAAGTTCCTCTCAAGATTCCGAACACCAGCTTCTCTAGTGTACCCCTGAATGACAAGTTTCACCATGGCCTACCACAGCAGAGAGACATTTATGATATTTTTGTATATACTTTGGTCATGAATCAAGAGAGTCATCTAAAGGTTGGCATAAAAAATTGATTTTGAAAACTAGAAATTTGGTGCCTATTTTTTGGATCCACAGCTATTATTATTGGGAATACCACAATTTTAACACCATTACTACTTGATAATAGCACAATGGAATGAACTTCTTACCTCCGGAATTTTGAGAAACTCAGAAGTCAAACCATGCTGATCAAGAACTCGTGGAATTAAATGGTGCATAGCTATCTTCAGCTTTTCTTCAGGTGTATATCCAGGCAGCTCGATAACTTCCATCCTGTCCAAGAGTGCTGGAGGAATAGGCTGCACCCTATTTGCAGTTGCCACAAAAATCACCTTTGAAAGGTCGAAAGGAACATTCAAATAGCTATAGGCCTTGCATTAAGGAATCACTTGAATATACTCACATTCAAGAGATAGTGATTTATTCATATAATTTATGCCATGCAGTGAAACCATCAGGTCACAGACCATATTGATAGTTACTCTCTTCATTTTATGTAAAGAAAATTTTCTCCAAAGTTAACTGTAGATATACTCATAGGTCAAACTCGAGATTCATACTACAAGATGACATTTCAAATTATTTAAATATAAAAAATCGGACTGAAATAAGGGATAGAGCCAGAGAGCAGGATACTGATCATTGAATGTTTTATTTTGTTCTGGATCAAGAACCTCCAGTAGAGCTGAAGCTGGATCACCACGTACATCAGAACCTGTCTTATCAATTTCATCTAGTAGCATGACTGGATTGCAAACAGCAACTCTCTGAAATAAAACATAATTAAGCAAAACGTTAGCCTAAGTCCTATAGCTTAAATTCCATACTCAGGTGGGTGGGTGTGGATATGCATATGTAGTTGTTCTTGTGTCTACTAAGTGTCCAACAATCTTCATTCGACCCATGAATGAAAAGCTAAGAGGCTTCTTCAATCAGAAGTTTTTCTAAAGGCAGTTATGGATCCGATGACAAACACTATGCCTTATCAACAACAAAATACCTATGTGTATTCTTGTTTTTCTGGGTTCGTTCAACACCCTTAGACCATAGCATTTTCAATTATGACTAACCACTGAACCCATCACATCAAAGCAAGTATTATGCATGTGAATACCACACCATAAGTCCATACAAATGTTTAATTGAATAAAAATATACCTTTACTCCATCAATGAGTCTCCCCGGCATGCTTCCAATGTATGTCCTCCTATGTCCTCGAATATCAGCCTCATCCTTAACACCACCAAGGGATATGCGTATAAATTTTCTGCCCAAAGCAGCAGCAATAGATGATGCCAAAGATGTTTTCCCAACACCTGGTGGGCCAACAAAGCACAACACAGGGCCTCTGGCATCTGGTTTAAGCTGCAACCCAAAAGTAACAATATGAGCATCAAATTCTGAACACAAAACATTCAAATAATCAGGGAACAAGTGCTGCAGAATTGGCCACCTTGCGAACAGCCAGATATTCAATAATCCGCTGCTTGACCTTAGCTAATCCATAGTGATCACTGTCAAGACGTTCTTTTGCAACCCTTAAATCTAATTCATACTCTTCACTGGCCTTCTGCCAGGGAAGATCAGCAAGAAGCTCTAGGTAAACACGTGAACTATTATATCCAGGTTGCTGGGGTTGCATCTTTTTCAGCCTCCTGAGGCATGAGGAGAAAATAAATTAAATAAATGATATGAGACCTGCTTAATTCAAAAACTTTAAGTTCAAGAATTGTGAAATCGAACAAAACAACAAGGGTGATTGGATACGATTTGAAATCTAACGAAGAATAAATAAGTCTTCACTTTGGTAATTTTCCTTTTCATATTTGTCTTTATCATCATAATTTTGCAGAAAACATTATAGACATTACAATCATCAATGGACAGATTTACAAACCCCCATCAACTACTGTTCACCAATCACCGGCAGGTCTGGAAAATGCATGTTGAATATGGTCAGAGCAGCACAAAATATAAAGCACCAGATTGTCTACAGAATCACCAGCGTCAAGCTTAAAGTTGAGGATAACAAAATCTAGAGAACATGACTGTGATCCCTTTTGCTACATAACTATATCTGGACCAAACTTAACAATGCCCAAATTTTGTAATGTTACTACACCCAAGAGTTAGAAATCCCAGTGACCTTTTTGTGTAAAGCTGCATAAATCAATGTGGCTTCAGATTAAAAAAGCAATTGTATATATGGGTAACAACTTTAATCTTCTTCTCTTACAAATATCTCAAGAGCAAAATAATCTAATCAACTTTAACATGCCATCATTAGGAAAAAAATCCAAGATAATACAATGTTGGGCACTACTGACAGTGTCGTCATTCTCTTTACTCCGACGAAGACCTTAATGTCAGACACTTCTTTGTTTGAGGAACCATAACTGTATCTTACTCAGCGCCAAAATTTGGAATGGAATTACATCAAAGTTTCAGTAATACCCACAGTATGAAATTTTTACTAAGAAAGAAGAAACTACTTTACTTGCACACTGAAATGCAGTAACCCATATTCCTTTCTTCTAACCAAATCATACCTCAACTCCCTCTGTGCATGCTTCCAGATATTTGAAGGCATTCCTGAACTTTGCATCTTCCTTTCCAGGGCAACTACATCGTCTTCATCATCATCATTGTCCCCAAGCTCCTCTTTTATAGCTCTCATCTGCAAGTGTGTTTCATAAAGCAGGAAAGGAAACAACAATAAGGATTTATGCAGCTAAAGAATAGGAAATAAAAGTATATCTGTGTCAAATTTAGAAGTTTGTTAAGATATTTCCAAACCATCAACATGTGAATCCACCTGAAGTCCTGAATAGTATTTATAAGTTTCATGAAAATCCAAATCAACTAAAATCCAACATATAATCAGAAATGAGTACAAACAAAATAATTGCACACCTAAGACAAAAACACGCCTATAAATAAAAGTTATTAGTAAATTTCATCTACTAAAGCAGCCTGTTGTATCCTTCACAACCTTTCCCTAGTTATGCACATGAAAAATGTATATTCGTTTTTTTTTCTTATATATATTTGATATTTGAGTCCTCCAGCACTACAGAAAATTATGTCAATCCTAAATATTAAACTTAAAGCATGTCTGGGACTGCTTCCAAAATGGCTAAAAGCGCTTCTGAAATGGTTTGGCAAAAAAACTTAAAATTGCTTCTGGGTCATAAAAGCGTTTTCTGGAGAAGTGTTTAATAAAAATTCAACGTGTTTCTAACAAAAACAAGTATGAGCTTAAGTGCTTCCTACAGATGCAGTCCCAAACGGACCCTTAATTAATCTAACCAATAAATAAATTATTACATCTCAATCAATAAATAAATTATTACATGTAGAACTTGTATAAAACCTTGCAAGAATACAGCAATCTAGAAAGCTTTGTACACTCCATTCCTTTATTTTGTCAAAAATATCCTTCATTTAACTTAAATAAATTTTTAAAAAATTATCAGATAAGATATTTTCTATTGCTTCAGAAAATAAGAACTAATCACCCCACCCTCAGCACAAAATTTTAACAGACAAGATTTTTTGTGTTGCATCAGATAAGGTTGTACCCTCAGCTTAATTCTGTAATTACTAATCTAAATAAAAACCGTTTAATAGTTATTACTTATTACTTTGAGTAAAGAGAAAATTTGCAAATTATGGTTTATTTCAGTAAAATTATAACTGAATTTCTTATTATTTGTTCCACTGACAAAATTTGCCATGACAATTCAAAAAGAACAAAATTCCAGAAAAATCAAATTAATATAAATAATAATAAAAATTAAACTGATGAGCACAATACTTGCTTACCACATTTATTGTAGGATAACAAAACATGAACTGGATGAAAACAAATAATAATTTTATCATTAAAAAACATAACTACAACTTTTCACTTCCTCAACAACTCAAAAGCTGATGTGAGAGTGCCAACCTGCTGACGCAAAAGAAATTCCTTTTGCGATTTCGATAATTGACCCTCAACTTTTTGTGTAATCTTCTCTGCTACATGTATGGACTGTCACAAGGTAACACCAACATGACTTCTAAAAAACTATAGGAAGTACTAAGATCAACTGAGTGAAAAAAACATCACCACCAGTGAATCAACAGTTACCTGCAAATGCCTGTCAACCAACTCAGTAGCTTTCGAAAGTCTCACTTTCAGATCAACTGAGTCCAGCATACACAGTTGCTCCTCAAAACTTATCTCAAAGCTGGCAACAAAGATATCTGCCAACTTGTGAACTGGAACTGTCTCCAGAAGAACTTTTGTTCTTCCTCCAGTTTTTTGTTTCTGCAAGCACAAAATGAAATGAGTTAATGATTTAAAATATGAACAACAAATATAAATTTAGAAAACACCAAGCGTTTCAAGTAATAAAGGCTCAGAAAAGTTTTATCAGCAGAGTCTACTATCAACAACATATATATCTATATATATATACACACACAAGTCAACAGTATCTGGATAGAATTCATAACATAAAGAAGCTTAGTTGATGCTCTTCAACCAAATCAAGGAATGTTGAGCAAATGGCATTTCCTAAACATCTTAACAATCAAGCACAGTCAAAACCATTTGAAACCCCATTTGTTAAAAAGAGAAGGCGCTCAGCCTCACAGCTTCAAAAGGAGCTTACACATACTTTAGAATGGATATAGAACATATACATGCATAATATTTGTGCGGTCTTGAATTTGTATTTCATTATTGATGCTATATGATACACCTGAGAAAACTTGTAACTAAAGATTCTGATAACACCAAAAAATAAAAATAAAAAGAAATAAGGTCTCTTGGTGTCTGTGATTCTATTCATGAGAAAGTTTTCAAAGAAGTGATAAAAATATGCTAATATCACAAATATCACCTGCTCAAGAACAGAAATCAGCTCTGTAGCAGTTGCTTTGAACTGGCGAGACAATGTTATGAACTCGGGATCTTGCTCCACTTGCTCCATCTCTAATTAAGATAATAAATATGAAAGCAACTCAACATATAGGTAGATAAGGGCACAAAACTCATCATCTGAATATAATCTGATCATGATACATTGAATATAAGCATATAAGCCACATTATAAACTCAGGTAAGCACATTTAAAGCAACGTTTAAGTCTTCATATTGTAAGGTAAAACATGGACAAAATTTGTTAATTGCTTAGAGAGGAAACATACAGTAAGCAGTGACACACACAAGCAATGATACAGTGATACCTAACCAGCTCCTTCCTAAAGAATGGTGATTTAAGAATTCCTCATTTCACGTGAGGGCCTTTCAATAACATATGACAGATGAGCAAGAGAGCATACATTATCCATTCAGGCTGACAGGAATAATTTCTGTGTGGTTTGCATGTCACTGTGTTCATGTGCGTGTGTGTGGGAGAGAGAGAGAGAGAGAGAGAGAGAGAGAGAGAGAGAGAGAGAGAGAGAGAGAGAGAGAGAGAGAGAGAGAGAGAGAGAGAGAGAGAGAGAGAGAGAGAGAGAGAGAGAGAGAGAGAGAGAGAGAGAGAGAGAGAGAGAGAGAGAGAGAGAGAGAGAGAGAGAGAGAGAGAGAGAGAGAGAGAGAGAGAGAGAGAGAGAGAGAGAGAGAGAGAGAGAGAGAGAGAGAGAGAGAGAGAGAGAGAGAGAGAGAGAGAGAGAGAGAGAGAGAGAGAGAGAGAGAGAGAGAGAGAGAGAGAGAGAGAGAGAGAGAGAGAGAGAGAGAGAGAGAGAGAGAGAGAGAGAGAGAGAGAGAGAGAGAGAGAGAGAGAGAGAGAGAGAGAGAGAGAGAGAGAGAGAGAGAGAGAGAGAGAGAGAGAGAGAGAGAGAGAGAGAGAGAGAGAGAGAGAGAGAGAGAGTGTGGGAGAGAGAGAGAGAGAGAGAGAGAGAGAGAGAGAGAGAGAGAGAACTTTCAAAAACACCCCTAGTCATAAATAGCAGATTTCTATTCAACTAATGAACCAGGGCCACACACATAACCAAACGTAGTATAAATGTTAGCGGGTACATAAAACATACACTTAGCATTTGAAGTATGAAGACAATTTCTTCTTACTGAATCAGAAAAGAAAAAACAAATCAAAGAAACAACAACATGCGGTATGTTTCAAACCACAACTAGCAAATCAACTAATAAACCCTAATATCTTCTACCAAAAACAAATCCACATACTAAATTGGCAACATACCAGACTTTGTCATTTCAAGAGGAGATATCCGTGCAGTATAATATGTTCCTCTTGTGCTAAGTTCCTGGACACTGAATCTACACAAACCTTCAAGGACGACTACATATGTAACCCTCCCACTCGGCTTCTCAACTCCTCTTGAGAGATGTAAAGCACGTGCAGCAACACCCCTAAGAATATAAATATCAAATATTAGCAACAAAATTAGTATATAACTACAAAGTGCAAAAACTCCAAATGAAAAACATATCAATAAGAGGGAGTTATACACAGAAAACAGAAAGTCAGTGAAATGTAGGCCGAGTCGAAAAATTGTGGCAGCCCATTGAAGAATTAAAGGGGAGTTAAACTGATTAAAGAAAATTACAACGCATAACATAAATAGATGGACCACCCTGATAGCTGTAATTTTAAGTAGTAGCACCCAAAAAGCCAAACACTCTCCACCACGCAACAAAATACAATTTTGATTCATGTACCTGGTATGCCAATGAATAACTTCCTGCTGATTTTTTCCATCTAGCCTGTGAGAATCAGATGTACCAACTTGAACTCTCGAGCCTCGTTCTCCAGATTCACTTCCCACACCTAAATTAGACAAATTACAAGAGACACTTCCTCTCAGATTTGCCATTAAATATAGGCACCCCCTCATCCTAGTCAAATAGAAAAATGAGCAGAAATCACCTTGAGACAACACAGGACCCACTGATGCTGACTCAGCAGCATCTCGAACGGGAAGAATACCAATTAATCCCTTCTCTTCACGCTGCCATAACTCTTGCTCCACCAATTTGACACTACATTAATCAAAATCACCACGTCCATCAATTCCATAATCCAGCACTCACAAATTCACAATTCCACACCTACATAATGATCAATTACCTGAAATGACACAACACCAAATTCTACGAGAAAAAGGAAGTTCGCATTTGAAATTACTAGTAACAAAATTGCAAAACAAGATATCTTGAGTTTCCACACCAACAAAATATGCACAACATTTGATCACAGAAATAGATGGAAAATACCATCAAAAGGAAACAAAACTAGACCAGACAATCTATCACGACGAAGAACATGAAAGGTATTCCTCCATTTTGTTCCTATCGAGAATGAAGGAAACATAATTTCCAAACAAGCAGAAGAATTGCATAGCTATAAGTTTCAGCTGAGGTCAAACAAACAGCTATCCACTTCAGTATGCACAAATTTTCTCAGAAACCAAACAAGAAAAACAATTTAAAGGAACAGCAAGCAATCAAAAGGAGAAATTCTACGTTTAAAGGTACCTGCTAGGTGAAGTGCAGCGAATTCGAATGATGGCGCCTGGTAAGAGGACCTTGTTTTTGAAAGGAAGGATACCGAGTCGACTCGGAAGCTCCACCGATTCCGCCATGTTTGCAACTGAAGAGAAACAAACAGTGGTTTTGCAGAGAGAGAGAAGGCGACGAAGAGTCAGAGGAGGAGAAAGGGAAGGTGGTAAATGCAAGGTGTGTGGGTTTGGTTTTATTTGGTTTTGGTTTGGTTGGAAGGATTTTGGTCCCGTCAGATTTTATTTTTTTTATCAAAACGGCGACGGCTTGTTTTTCGTTATAAATACTTTTGCTTCTATTTTTTTTCATTTTTTTTATACAATAGATATTGGGTGCTATCTAAAGGACTTTAAAATTGGGATTTTATTAAATTTTGAAGGACTTTAATCTAGATATTCAAAATGTTATTGATTCGAAGAAAATTCAAAAAGTGGTAGATTTTGATGGTGTTTACTTTAAATTTATCAGCCTCTAAAATTGGCCAAAAAATTATATTAATTACGAACATGTCAGTATTAGCAATATAAGATGAATATCGTATGCCCCAATAATATCTTATATTAATAGAGACTAAATTGAGAAAATAATATCTTATGTGCGTCGAGAAATCTGCTTTAATCAAACAATAATTAATTGGGTGAGGCGCTTAGAATATGTCGAAAAATAAATGAATTATAGAAGAATTGGGCCATGAATTTTAACAGATTTTTCTCAATTCTTGCACATGATCAATTAAGCCATTACTGATGACACGACTTTAGCCTTCACTTTCACTGTCCCCACTACCCTCACTATCAAGAATGGCCACTACCCCTCCTCAGATTTGTTTTTCTATGAACAATTTTCAGTACATGTTAAAACTTCTTGAGATTTTCTATTTAAACTCCACACTTCTCTTAGTTCACTCCATGTTCTAAGTTCACTCCATGTTTTAATTTAAATTTTCACAATTTCTAATAAAATCCCACTATCTTCCCAAACTACCCTTAAATACACCCCAAACTAAAAAAATAAGAAATAAAATAGATTTTCTATTTAAACCCCACAAATTACCATTAGAGGAGGAAGTACGTTTGGGGCATGAGAAATAGTAAGTAATTAAATTAATGTTTTTGTAAACACACATGGGATTAAGAGCTTGCAAAGGGAAGTTTCATATTTCATGAAGTATGAAACACGCAATGGTGTGATTCTTATTTGACAGACACGGAAAATTGTTGGGATTTTTATATTCCAAATGGCTCAAATTGTTCAACGAATTTGACAGACACTTGATTTTTTGACAATGTTAATTTATGGATTGGTAAATTTTTCGTGCATAATATGTGATTCTTATTTGATTTCTACCTCCGAATGCCATCTAGAATTGGTGGGGTTTTCAAATATTGAAACACTATGTAATGAAGCTTTAGGCACTTACAAGAATAGTACGAACTTTGCAATATGAGAAAGTACATACTTTGCATTTACAAGAATTGCTAGGTACGTACTTTAATTTGCAATATGAGAAAGTACGTACCTAGCCGACAAAACAAGAACTATTCTTTTCCCCCTTATTTTACATGTATGATTGACAAAAGGGTCTTAAAAGAGTTATAAATTGTTGCCATGTTCATGGATTTCAAATGAATTTTTTTTTTCTAAATACAAATGATAGTCTAAAAAAGCTATCTTGAATTCTTTATTATCACTTGGAACAACCAGAGCCGTCTTAGCTGCTTTTCGTTAACGAGGCCTGAGAGCATCCCCTGAGGGATGCTCTTAGCTCCGGTTCACCTCCCCTGAGGGATAAGGGAGCCTAAAAAATCTGAAAGGGAATGAAGATTTCTCACACACACACTAGTAAGGTGCTATGAGGGTTTGAACCTAAGACCACTCTAAGGGGATGCCATTTTTCATTGGGCTAGAACCCGTTGACACAAATGTATTCTATACAAATGATAGTTTAAACTACAAGAGAGAATGTAGTTTCTCACACACACTACCAAAGTGCCATGAGAATTTAAACCTGAGACCACTCGTCCATTGGTGCCATAGTTATCAGGTAGTTGTTTCAATGATAATTCTTGAATAGAGATCTAAAAATTAGATAGTTGGGATCATTAGATAACATTGTGGATGAAACCAACAATTGAATACCTTTTGGCTCTCTTCATAAAGGAATTGTATTATTATTTTATCAAAAAGTAACTTCATTAGATAAACTTCTTTTAAAAAAAATTATTAAATAAGAAAATCCAGTTAGATAGTAAAATATGAATTATGAAATTAAAGATATTGAACCAATGACAACGGCATGTTGGTTGGATTGCCACAAGTTTTTGCTACGCTTCCAAGTAGCATGGTACCTGCATGTGTGAGCTCCCTCCCTTCCCCTTCCTAACTTCCAAAAAAAAAAAAAAAAAAAA